TTTCTGCCTAATGGAATCTTTGATAGGGCCTTCGCGAAGGTTCTTATCAAAGATTGTGTTGTTTACAACGCATTTTAAAAACTGATATTTTACTTAGAAAGGTACTATCAACTTTCTTAATCTTAAATCGTCATATCTCAGACAACCATATCTTCATTCTGTTGGCAAAATTGCTTTCATGGTCGTCACAAATTACTTATATCATTTTCTTCTTTATTCTTCTCTTGTATGATTCATTATTATTTACGAAGAGCAATTTAGCATGTCGAAACCGCTCGCTAGACATATTAAAGAACCTTCGCTATTAGGAGGAGAAATCGAACAGGAAGCATTAGCTGAAGAAGCACGACTTAGAGCCGAATGGAAGGTTCGACTTATGGATGTCATTCTAAGCTCAATTATATATCTTAATCACGAGTCTATTAGATGCAGAACGTGATTTCACTCTTTGTAGGCGCGCCAAGCAGCAGCGAACAGTGGGAGCGGCGTGGAGTCGAGGACCCCCGAATCGCCGCAAAATGCTGACTCTCCACAAAGTACTGGATCCCCTCAAGATTCCGTTTCCCCACAAAATGATACGCAGGAAAAGGCGACGTCGTCGGACGAGGTGTCCGATTAACCCAGCAGATATGTTGACATTTGTGTTTTACCCTAAACTCACATTTCTGTTTCTATAAGAGAGCCCATCTTGAATTTTCTTTCTGTTCCGTTACGTTATTCATCCTACACATTTCCGCTGGGTTACACTTAATTCGTGATTTTTTTTGCGGCGCCGTCTTTCTACTGCACGCATCTGCTTATCTCTGGGTACATTTGAAATACCATTTCGTGTTTCTAAACAGATTTGAAGTATGAGGATCTTCACCGTTTCATATAATGAATGCTCTGCTCTTAACGTAATATGTATTGTTGCACATTGCAGGTAGTTTGATTTTACTTTTATTCGCTTCTAGAACGAGGTGATCGCTTCAATCTGTGCAGGTCCTGCAGTTTATTTGTTTTAAGTTTTCTAGTTTTATAATTAGTTTTTGAATTGATAATAATTTTATTGTTTTTGGTGCAATAAGCACTTACA